CACTTTGACTATGACCTTGTCTAAACAAGATAAGAAGTCGGAGAACTCAAGAGGCTTCCCATAGCCTTGGAAACTCATAACTGGTGCATAGGGAGATTACTGATGCCCATAAACAGGAGTGTCAATTGGTAAAGTCAACAACAGGAGTCACTGTGCACTTACTCCTCATGTAGGATCTCTGTCCTTAACGTGCTGTACACTGAGGCTTAATGCTATAACGAGTACTCAAACAGTATATTTCACTTTGTGTTTCTATGGGGGTGCAAACGACTGAAATCTTTACTTAATGTACACTAAACTGATCTTCTGTAAAAAAAAAAAAAGAAAGAAAGAAAGAAAGAAATTATCAATTCCCAACTTGACTCTCACTGGGATTAAACATGACAATAGGTCAGATCTGATTTCATCATCATTTAAAAAAAATCATCTATTATTTTTCACTTTATGTTTCTGTGTGGGAGCAAACTGTTGAAATACTTACTTAAGGTATACTAAGCTGATCTTCTGAATATTAAGATAATCGAAAATGAATCTTGATGTGAATGGAAGGGGAGAGGGAGTGGGAAAGGGGAGGGTTGTGGGTGGGAGGGACGGTATGGGGGGGGAAGCCATTGTAACACATGAGTCGTACTTTGGAAATTTATATTCATTAAATAAAAGATAAAAAAAAAAAAAAGAAATGGAAAAATCTTCCATGCTCATGGATTGGAAGAATCAATATCATCAAAATGTCCATTCTCCCAAAAGCAATTTATAGATTCATTGCAATCCCAATCAACATACCGAAGACATTCTTCTCAGATCTGGAAAAAATGGTGCTGAAATTCATATGGAGACACAGGAGACCTCGAATAGCTAAAGCAATCTTGTACAACAAAAACAAAGCGGTAGGCATCACAATACCAGATTTCAGGACATACTACAGGGCAGTTGTAATCAAAACAGCATGGTACTGGTACAGAAACAGATGGATAGACCAATGGAATAGAATTGAAACACCAGAAATCAACCCAAACATCTACAGCCAATTTATATTTGATCAAGGATCTAAAACTAATTCCTGGAGCAAGGACAGTCTATTCAATAAATGGTGCTGGGAAAATTGGATTTCCACATGCAGAATCATGAAGCAAGACCCCTACCTTACACCTTACACAAAAATCCACTCAACATGGATTAAAGACCTAAATCTACGACCTGACACCATCAAGTTACTAGAGAACATTGGAGAAACCCTTCAAGATATTGGCACAGGCAAAGAATTTCTGGAAAAGACCCGGGAGGCACAGGCAGTCAAAGCCAAAATCAACTATTGGGATTGCATCAAATTGAGAAGTTTCTGTACTGCAAAAGAAACAGTCAGGAGAGTGAAGAGACAACCGACAGAATGGGAAAAAATATTTGCAAACTATGCAACAGATAAAGGGTTAATAACCAGAATCTACAAAGAGATCAAGAAACTCCACAAAAACAAAACCAACAACCCACTTAAGAGATGGGCCAAGGACCTCAATAGACATTTTTCAAAAGAGGAAATCCAAATGGCCAACAGGCACATGAAAAAATGTTCAAGGTCACTAGCAATCAGGGAAATGCAAATCAAAACCACAATGAGGTTTCACCTCACCCCAGTTAGAATGGCTCACATGCAGAAATCTACCAACAACAGATGCTGGCGAGGATGTGGGGAAAAAGGGACACTAACCCACCGTTGGTGGGAATGCAAACTGGTGAAGCCACTATGAAGTCAGTCTGGAGATTCCTCAGAAACCTGAAGATAACCCTACCATTCAACCCAGCCATCCCACTCCTTGGAATTTACCCAAAGGAATTTAAATTGGCAAACAAAAAAGCTGTCTGCACCCTAATGTTTATTGCAGCACAATTCACAATAGCCAAGACCTAGAACCAACCTAAATGCCCATCAACGGTAGACTGGATAAAGAAATTATGGGATATGTACTCTTTAGAATACTATACCGCAGTAAGAAACAACGAAATCCAGTCATTTGCAACAAAATGGAGGAATCTGGAACACATCATGCTGAGTGAAATAAGCCAGTCCCAAAGGGACAAATACCATATGTTCTCCCTGATCGGTGACAACTGACTGAACACCAAAAAGGAAACCTGTTGAAATGAAATGGACACTATGGGAAATGGTGACTTGATCAGCATAGCCCTGACTGTTAATGAACAACTTAATACATTATCCCTCTTAGTAGTTTTTTGTCTGTTCTACTTAATATGACTGGTTTAATTCTGTAATTAATACACAGTTATTCTTAAGTGTTGAAAATTAACTGAAATGTGATCCCTGTTAAACATAAGAGTGGGAATAAGAGAGGGAAGAGATGTATAATTTGGGACATGCTCAAGCTGACTTGCCCCAAATGGTAGAGTTAGAAACATACCAGGGGATTCCAATTCAATCCCATCAAGGTGGCATGTACCAATGCCATCTCACTAGTCCAAGTGATCAATTTCAGTTCACAATTGATCATAATGAAAGGACTAAGAGTCAAAGGGAGCACATAAACAAGTCTAGTACCTGCTAACACTAACTGATAGAATAAATAAAGGGGAGAGTGATCCAACATGGGAAGTGAGATACTCAGCAGACTCATAGAATGGCAGATGTCCTAAATAGCACTCTGGCCTCAGAATCAGCCCTAAAGGCATTCGGATCTGGCTGAAAAGCCCATGAGAGTATTTCAGGCATGGAAAGCAAGACACTCTGGCAAAAGATCTCTGTGAGTGAGATCCCAGTGGAAAGAACAGGTCATCAAAGAAGGAGGTACCTTTCTCTGAAAGGAGGAGAGAACCTCCACTTTGACTATGACCTTGTCTAAACAAGACAAGAGTCGGAAAACTCAGAGGGTTTCCATAGCCTTGGAAACTCATGACTGGAGCATAGGGAGATTACTGATGCCATAGACAGGAGTGTCAATTGGTAAAGTCAACAACAGGAGTCACTGTGCACTTACTCCTCATGTAGGATCTCTGTCCTTAATGTGCTGTGCATTGAGATTTAATGCTATAACGAGTACTCAAACAATATATTTCACTTTGTGTTTCTATGGGGATGCAAACTGTTGAAATCTTTACTTAATGCATACTAAACTGATCCTTTGTAAAAAAAAAAAAAAAGAAAAGAAATTATCAACTCCCAACTTGACTCTCACTGGGATTAAACATGACAATAGGTCTAATCTGATTTCATCATCATTTAAAAAAAATCATCTATTATTTTTCACTTTATGTTTCTGTGTGGGAGCAAACTGTTGAAATCCTTACTTAATGCCCAGGGGCAAGCAGCTGTAGGGAAAGTAGAAATTTCTGGGATAATCCACCATCAAAACTATGATAAGACTAGACTTCAGAGAGTAAAGTCTTGGCTTTGGGGGAACGTGTCTGCTGACAGAAGACGTAAAAGAAATAAAACAAGTAAGTAAATAATTAAAGAAGTTTAGAAGTGCGAAAATATATTTACATACATATATTTAACAGAGGGAAGTGAGAGGGAGTAGCTTTTGCTTTAATAGGGATAATTTTAGTAAGGTAATACAAGGGTATTTCAAAAATCCATGTAAAATGCATATTATGAAGAAACCATTCATAGATTTCAAATGTTTTACACTAGAATACGCTTACCTTTGTCATTATTATTATTCATTATTTTATAAGTAAGGAGAGAGAAACACAGAGAGAACTCCCAGTTACACGCTGGTTCATTCCCCAATACAAGCAGCAGCTGAGGATAGCCCAGGCCAAAATTGGGAGTGGAACTTTCAGTCTGGGTCTCCCTTGTGGGTGACAAGGATACAACTTCTTGAACCATTACCTGTTGCCTACCATGGTCTGCATTAGCAGAAAGCTGGAATTGTGCACAAAGCCAGGAATCAAACACTGGCCTTCTGATATGGAATGAGTATCTTAACTGCTAGGTCAAATGTCCATCCCTAAAGCTTATCATTTAATTACATTTTTCATGAATTTTTGAAGTTTTCTCATTTTTTTAGAAGGAAGCAGCATGACAAAGAACCTGGGAAATAAAGCTCCAGGCAGAAAGAACTACAAATGCTAAGGCCCTGAGACAAGAATGAGCTTGCTCAAGGCACAAAGTGAGAAATGGAAAATACACAAATAACATCTGAGAGGTAGGTTGGAAACACACCAAAAGAGCCTTTGATAAGATATGTGAATTTTACTCTCAGTGTGACAGTGAACAACTACAGAGTTTTTAAGAAACGACATCTAACAATCTAATTTACAGTTCAAAAGTCACCGTAGCTGCTATGTGAAAAATGGTCTACAGGAAGATAAAGAGTGGTTGCAGATAGAAACATTAATGTGGTACAGGCAAGACACTGCAGCAGCTTGGCCTTGAATGAAGGTAGTCATAGTATAATGTAACAGGTTAAGGTGGGACACATTAGGGGAGTAGGATAGATAAAACTTGCTAATATGTGGTGCGAATCAGAGAAGGAAAGAATTGGAAATTACAGTAATTAAATTCCTGTCATATTCTTACTGAGGCTATAGAGTAATATCTTATGCTTCTCCATATAATAATTAGTGACAGAATTAGTGGATAAAGGAATGCATGAAGAAATGTATCCCTTTCTCCCAGATAAGTGTGTCTTTTTTCTCTTCAGGCAGTTACACAGGGAAATACTACAAAAACCAAAGCCATTGCCTTCCTGTGGGGCACAGGGTGGCAAATTCATCTTCCTCACCAGAGAGGTCTCAAATATGAATCATTCCTGCATATGCAGAGAAGCTGGGCCATAGAAACGTGTGGGCTTCTGTCTCATAACCGACTTCCAGGAACTCTCAGCTCAGTTTGTGTTTTCAACAGCCTTTGTACTTTTGTCTGGAAATGAAGGCAACAGGGAGCTGATAGCAGTCATTGTTATTCTGGAACGCTGTATGTGAGACATTTAGCACATGCCTGGCTCATAGTAGGTGGATGATAAGTGGGCATCACTGATATTTAAACAATAATCATCATTGGCTTCAGAAGATGCTCAATACTGCTTTCTTGGGGCTGGCACTATGGCCAGAGGGTTAAAGCCCTGGCCTGCAGCCCCAGCATCCCATATAGGCGCCAGTTCTAGTCCTGGCTGCTCCTCTTCAATCTAGCTCTCTGCTATGGCCTGGGATAGCAGTGGAAGATGATCCAAGTGCTTGGGCCCCTACACCCACGTGGGAGACGCGGAAGAAGCTCCTGGCTCCTGACTTTGGATCGGCACACCTCCGGCTGTTGCAGCCATCTGGGGAGTAAACCAGTGGATGGAAGACCTCTCTCTCTCTCTCTCTCTCTCTGTCTCTACCTCTCTCTGTAACTCTGTCTTTCAAATAAATAAAATAAATCTTTAAAAAATACTGCTTTCTTATTACTTTAATTGCACATAACTTTTTACATACTTGTGAGGAAAACTGTGATGTCTTCATACATGTAATACATGTGCACAATCTGTAATAATCAAATTGAGATAATTAACATTTTCATCTCCTCATTTCCTTACATTTGGAAGCTTCAAATGCCTGTCCTTTAGTTCTTCTCAAATATATAATAGGTTAGCATGAACTACAGTCACCTTACTTTGTTTTACAACAATAAAACTTATTACGCCTACCTAAATATATTTTGATACCCATTGTCCAAGGTCCTTCTACCCCTCTTCTCCTCCATTCTTCCTAGCTTCTAGAAATAACTACCATTTTCAGTGTTTTTAGCTTCTACACTTGAGAGAGAACATGCAATATTTGTCTGTTCTGCTTAACATAACATCTTCCTGTTCTATGCATTTTATTGCAAATGTCAGAATTTCATTATTTTTATGACTGAATATTATTCCTTTGTGTACATACATATATCACATTTTCTTAATCCATTCATCCAGAAATGGATACCTTGGTTGATTCCATATCTAGCCTGTTATGAATGGTGCTGCAGTGACCATTGGATTGTAGGTATCTCTTTGATAAGCTGATTTCATGTTCTTTGAAAACTTACCCAGTACTGGGAAAGCTAAATTATATGCTCATTCTATTTCTAGTGGTTTGAGGAATCCTCACACTGTTTTCCATAATGGCTGTGTTAATTTACATTTCTAACAACAGTATGTAAGTTTTCCATTTTCTTCAAATCCTTTAAAGTATTAATTTTGGCTTTTTTGATAGCTATTCTAACTAAGGTGAGATGATACTTCATTGTGTGTGTGTGTGTGTGTGTGTGTGTGTGGTTTTTTTGACAGGCAGAGTGGACAGTGAGAGAGAGAGACAGAGAGAAAGGCCTTCCTTTTGCTGTTGGTTCACCCTCCAATGGCCACCGCGGCCGGCGTGCTGCAGCCGGTGCACCGCGCTGATCCGATGGCAGGAGCCAGGTACTTATCCTGTTCTCCCATGGGGTGCAGGGCCCAAGCACTTGGGCCATCTTCCACTGCACTCCCTGGCCACAGCAGAGAGCTGGCCTGGAAGAGGGGCAACTGGGACAGAATCCGGCACCCCGACCGGGAATAGAACCCGGTGTGCCGGCGCCGCAAGGCAGAGGATTAGCCTAGTGAGCTGCTGCGCCGGCCCTTCATTGTGTGTTTTAAAAATTTTTTAAATTTATTTATTTATCTGAAAGGCAGAGTTATAGAGAGGCAGAGAGAGAGTTCTTCTATCTGCTGCTGGTTCACTTCCCAGATGACCACAATGGCCAAGCTGTGCCGATCTGAAGCCAGGAGCCAGGAGCTTCTTCTGGGTACCTTTGGGCCATCTTCCATTGCTTTGCCAGGCCACAGCAGAGAGCTGGATTTGAAATAGAGCAGCCTGGACTTGGAATCGGCACCCATATGGGATGCCAGCACTGCAGGTGGCAACTACACCAGTATGCCACGGCACCAGCCCCTTCATTTTGGCTTTGATTTGCATTTCTCTATTGGCAAGTGATACTGTGTATTTTTCATATAAATCTTGGCTGTTTATATTTCTCCTTAGGAGAACTATCTATTCAGATCATCTTCCCACTTTTTAAAAACATATGTGGAACCTCTCTGACCTCTGACCCAATAGAATATGTAGTCACTCTTTTTTTAAAGTTTATTAATTTTCATTTATTTGAAAGGCAAAGCAAGAAAGAATGAAAGAGATGTATTTTCTGGTTCACACCCCAAATGCCTGCAATATCTGGGGCTGGGTCAGGCTGAAACCAGGAGCCAGAAACTACATCTAGGTTTTCTATTTGGGTGGCAGAGACTCAAGCACTTGGGACATCTTCTGCTGCCTCTCAGTGTACACTTAAGCAGGAAGCTGGATCAGAAGTGGAGAATCTGCTGTGCCACAATGTCCCTTCTGTCTGCCCATATTTGTTAATGGATTATTTGTTTTGTTATTGGTGAGATATGATTTTTCAGTTCCTTACATATTTCTTTACATGAAGCCTTTATCTGATGAAATTACAAATATTTTTCCCATTCTGTCTGTTGTTTCTCAACCTAATGACTGTTTCTTTGCTGTGCAGAAATGAAATTCTTAATTTGATACAACCCACTGGTCAATTTTAACTTTGTTTTGCCTGTGTTTTGGGTTTCTTATCCAAGGATTGAGGTTTCTTCTCCTAGGATTAATATTTTAAAATTCTTAATAGCTTTTCTAGAACATACTATCAAAAATAAGGTTTTGTGGTATAAGTTTAATATGATTGAAAAGGCAGACAAATCAGTGTAGCTGGGAACTATAACACTTGAGTGATGGTCACAAAACTGGGAAATACTAACTGTGCTGCTCTTTATTAATCACTCACTGTGTGTCAGTCATTCTGCCCTGTGCCACTGATGGAAAATGAGGGTGACACACTTCTTCCCTTCAAGTTTCCCAATCTAGGAGAATAAATAGAAAAATAATTAAATAAATATAGTTTAAGGTGACATTAATTGTGTATAACAGAATGCAATTCTGAAAACCTTATGATGGTGATGGATTTGCTTGAGGTAGGAGTAGAGGATGGAGAGAGAGCAGAGTTGGTAGGATAGAGGAGGAGGAAAGGTTGAACAAAGGGGAAGCCTGAGACTAAATCTGAAATATGACCACGAGGGCAAGAATGGGTAGGACATTGTGGCCAGAGTGAACACAATACGTCATAAATTTATTTAAAAGTCACTTAGGTCAGTGTTCTCATGGACTAATAGTAGTATCATCACTGTACTATCAAAGTAAAATTTTATTTCCTTTCAGGAATAGCAATACTAATAGATGGACTCTTACTGAAATATTTCAACAAAATAGTATAGAACTAAATGGTAAGAGATATTACAGAAAAATTCATTCTCTGCTCAAAAAATATCTACTAAATATCAGATCCGATAAAATTAAATATCCCATTGAAATACAGTATCACTGAGAGTCCTCTGTACGCTAATAAGCTATGTGAATCACTAAGGAGAAGAGAGAGTATGCATTGTTTCCAAATAGATTGAATCATAGAATTTTTTTCTCCTCTGAACTTCAAGGAATGCTGTTTTGAATAATAGACTTCTTTAAAAGGCATTAGAACCCTGGGGGCCCGGCACTGTGGCATAGCAGGTAAGGCTGCTGCATGTAGTGCCAGTATCCAATATGGGCACCAGTTCACATCCCAGCTGCTCCACTTCTAATCCAGCTCTCTGCTATGGGCTGGAAAAGCAGTGGAAGATAGCTCAATTCCTTAGGCCCCTGCACCTACATAGGAGATCCAGAAGAAGCTCCAGGCTCCTGGCTTCGGATCAGCACAGCTCTGGCCTTTGTGGTCATCTAGGGGGTGAACCAGCAGATGGAAGACCTCTCTCTCTTCTTCTCCCTCTCTCTCTCTCTCTCTCTCTCTCTCTCTGCCTCGCTGTAACTCTGCCATTCAAATAAATAAATAAATCTTTTAAAAATAAATAAATAAAAGGCATTAGAACCAATTTGCTCATTTAAGGTTGAAATTAATTTTATTTCTTGCCTCTTTGAGACTCATTGTGATTTTCTAGTGAACCTAGAGTACTTTTATCTAGTAGACTATTAGACCTAGTAATACCTTCTTTCAACTTTGCTCACAGCCTCAATAGCTGCTACTTGTCCTGTACTTGAGCAGAGATGCCAAAAGGACAGCCTCACTCTGTATGAGTTTGCTAAATCTGCCATAACAAAGCATCACAAGCTGAGTAGGTTAAACAACAGATTTTTTTTTTTTCTCAAAGTCTGGAAGCCATTCTGGGATTACGGACTCATAGGGTTTATTTCTTCTGAAGTCTCTTTCCTTGGCTTGTAGATGGATGTTTTTTCTGTCTTCACATGCCCTTCATTATAAACATATCTGCATCCTAATCTTCTCTTATAAAGATGCCAGTCACAGGGCTGGCATTGTGGCTTAATGGGTAACGCTGCCTGCAATATCAGCTTTCCATATGGGCACTGGTTCAGGTCCTAGCTGCTCCAATTCCAGTGCAGCTCCCTGTTTATGGCCTGCAAAAAAGCAATGGAAAGATGGCCCAGGTGCTTGGGCCCCTGCCACACACACAAAAAAAACCTGGAAGAAGCTCCTGGCTCCTGGCTTAAGCCTTGCTCAGCACTGGTCATTTCAATTACAACCATCTGGGGAGTGAACCAGAGGACAGATCTCTCTCCCTCTCCCTCTCCCTCTCCCTCTCCCTCTCCCTCTCCCTCTCCCTCTCCCTCTCCCTCTCCCTCTCCCTCTCCCTCTCCCCCCAGCCCACCCTGTGTAACTCTGACTTTCAAGTAAATAAATAATGTCAGTTGCATTGGATTGGAAGGCACCTCAATGACTTCATTTTTATTCAATTACCTCTTTCAAAGCCTATCTCCAAATACAGTCACATTCTGAGGCCCTAGGAATCATGATTTCACTATGTGGGTTTAGGGGGAAGGAATATAATTCAACTTGCAATACTCTTGTCCTTGAGTATGCAGAACTCCAGATTAAAGATCCTCAATTACTCAACACTGATTTATGCTAATCAAAAATGTGAGAGAAGGAGCCTACAGTTAAAAACAAGGCTACATCCATTTCATTTGCCATTATTGAGCTCCATCTTGTAGCATACCATACACTAGAAAGGTGAATAAGATAGACATAGTTTTTTCTCTCACAAAGATGTAGTGTGGGGCAATCAATCTCAATGGAAAATGTTCACACAGAGTCAAATATCTTCTAATTAATCAAGGGAAAAGAAGTCAAATAGCTTTGTGTAACTAGAGCAAAATTGGTATTTGGCAAATGGATTTTTTTCTTTATAAGTCACATAATTTATGGTATTTTATTATAGTAACACAAACTATCTTTGATGAGGCACAGATAGTTTCCAAATCTCATAAGTTAATATACATCTTGTAGAACAGGATATATCTATTGACATCCACTTAACACTACTTCCACTAGGAACATCAGCTAGTTGGACCACATATTCTCTCCATTGAGGATCCCAGGCACACAATGATACATTGGCATCCACCTTTCAAAGATTCATGCCTATACCTGATTGTTAACTAACCTGTTATTTCTTCATTAAACTCACACTACAGACATAAATATGCTCTCTAATGACCTTGTGCTGTGGACTGAATGATTGTGTTTCCCAGGATTCATATGTGGATACCTAAACCCTCAGTGTGATGGCATTAGGTGGTGGGATGTGATTAAGTGTGAGGATGGCACCCTCATGAATGAGATTAGTGCACTGATACATTATACATTAGTATAATGGGATGAAAAGACTAGAGCTCCTGCTCTATCTCTCCTCTCTCTTTTCTCTCTATCTATGTAAGGACACAATGAGAAGTCAGAAGTTTACAATCTGGAAGAAGGTGCTCACACAAGCTAACTATTCTAGCACCCTGATTTTGGGCTGCAAGCCTTTATAACTGTGAGAAATAGATTTTGTTCTTTATAAGTCACATAATTTATGGTATTTTATTATAGTAACACAAGCTATCTTTGATGAGGCACAGTTTCCAAATCTCATAAGTTAATATGCATCTTGTAGAACAGGATATATCTGTTGACATCCACTTAACATTTTTGTCTATTTTTTACTAGTTTCTTAGGAGGTGGCCATTATCTGAAAATATTACTAACTTATAGTGTATTGTAGTCACTACTTATTATCTCTAATTTTATCTGTCAAACATGTAATTCATACACAAAAAGGTGTTTAGAACTCAGTTGTAACATACTTATTTGGCTGGTGCTATTAAACTAACCAAACTGGAATCAAACAACTTTCTGTTTTTCTTTTTTTCTTACTGGGACTATCTGAGCATTGAGAGATCATCTGGCATTTAACTAGCATGACAATAGATAAAATTGAAGTGACTATTTCAGCAATAGCAAATATACTTTGATCATAGCCTGTCCTTCATACCCTCAAAGTCCACTTCTGTTTAGAATATTGTACATGCTTTGTACATCCACTATGTGTGTCCAGCATGAACCCTGTAAGGTTGGATGACCAACCATCCTGGTTGGCAGGAGATTGGGGACTGATGAGGTATGAGATTTTCATTGCCAAAACTGAGAAGGTTTTTGGCAAACAGGGGTTGGTTATCATACAGATATAGAATAGAATAGAATAGAATAGAATAGAATAGAATAGAATAGAATAGAAATACTAAGCATTTTACCTTCCAGCCCCAACCCCACTCTTTTCTCTTTCTCTTCCTCATTTCAATCTTCCTGAAATAGCTCAAATGCAACTTTGTCTACCAAGTTTTTCCTACCTGACCCTTGCCCTGGTATTCAGAGTTATTTGTCCCCCTAAGGCTACATAGCATTTCTTCATGTCTCTCATGACCTTCCAATTTTTATGTATTTATACTTTATTGGAAAGACAGACAGTGAGAGAGGGAGAAATGGAGAGAGAGCTTCCATTTGCTCATTTACTCTCCAAATGCCTGCAACAGCCAAGGTACAGCTAGGCTGAAGCTAGGAGCCCAGAACTGCATCTGGATCTGTCATTTGGGTGACAGGGACACACATATGGGAGCCATTACCTGCTTCCTCCCAGGGTATACATCAGCAAGAAGCTATATGGGAAGTGGAGTAGGCAGGAATTGAACCAAGTACTTATATGGGTTGCAGTTGTCCCAAGCCATGACTTAACTGCTATGTCCTAACACCTACCAATCCCCATGACCTAATAATTATCTTTTTCCTTGACACTGCTTCACTGGGTTTCATCTTCAGTGGAACTGACAACACTTTGTTCATATTGTTAGCCTCAATATAGCCCAGTTTTCCATGTATTAATAACTATTTGCCTAACTACATGGATTAACAAGAAAAGAATTTTCCCAGGGGTCAGCGCTGTGGCGCAGTGGGTTAAAGCCCTGGCCCGAAGCACTGGTATTCCATATGAGCACCGGCTCTAGTCCCAGCTGCTCCACTTTTGATCCAGCTCTCTGCTATGGCCTGGGGAAGCCGTAGAGGATGGCCCAGGTCCTTAGGCCCCTGCACCCATGTGGGAGACCCTTAGGGAGCTCCTGGTCCTGGCTTTGGATCAGTGCAGCTCTAGCTGTTGTGGCCATCTGCGGAGTGAACCAGTGGATGGAAGACCTCTCTCTCTGTCTCTACCTCTCTCTGTAACTCTGTCTTTCAAATAAATGAAATAAATCTTAAAAAAAGAGAATTTTCCCAAACCTTTATGTTTACCAAAATTTTAAAAACAGGATTAAAATGAATACTATAGATAATATGATCCAGTTTCCCACCACATTTTGTTGTCAATAGATCTGGAGTCCCAAGACTTTGCCCTTATTATCCAGATTTCCTGAGCACTAACTTAGCTACTTTGAATCTCTTGTTTTCACACATGACAACACACAAAATGATAAATTCTTGTTGAGGTGTTAGATAGATTGAATGAGATGAGATTTTTTTTTTTATTTGACAGATAGAGTTATAGACAGTGAGAGAGACAGAGAGAAAGGTCTTCCTTCCATTGGTTCACTCCCCAAATGGCTGCTATGGCCAGTGCTGCGCCAATTCAAAGCCAGGAGCCAGGTTTTTCTTCCTGGTCTCCCATGTGGGTGCAGGGGCCCAAGCACTTGGGCCATTCTCCACTGCCCTCCTAGGCCATTCTCCACTGCCCTCCCGGGCCACAGCAGAAAGCTGGACTGGAAGAGGAGCAACCAGAACTAGAACCCGGCACCCATATGGGATGCTGGCGCTGCAGGTGGAGGATTAGCCAAGTGAGCCACAGCACAGGCCCCAGAGATGAGATATTTTTAAAGATTTATTTTATTTATTTGAAAGGCAAAGTCACAGAGAGAGAGAGAGAGAGATACAGATAGAGAGAAGGATCTTCCATTTGCTGATTCACTCCCCAAATGGCTGTACCAGCCAGATTTGGACCAGACTAAAGCCAGGAGCCAGGAGATTCTTCCAGGTTTCCCACATGGGTGCAGGGCTCAAACTCTTGGGCTATTATCCACTGCTTTCCCAGGCACACTAGCAGGGAGCTGCATAAGAAATGAAGCAGCTGAGACTCAAACCAGGGCTCATATGGGATTGCAGCTGATGGCTTAACCCGTTAAACCACAATGCCAGCCCCAAGATGAGTTGTTTTTTTTTAAATTTTTTTAAAGAATACAACTTCATGCATTTAATATTTACAAATTTAGGAACATGGTTATTTGAGATTTTTAAGAAATGGATTGTAAAATCAAGGACACTAAACAACAGTCAAGATTATTGTAACTATCCCTAAATTTATTCATTCAGTGAAGAAGGAAAATGCTACTGTAAAGTCTCTACAAAAATCTCTCAAGTGATCATCTGTCTTCTACTGGAACTTAATCTCTCTGAATCAGGAATTTCTTCCATTCCCTTGGCTATTTCTCATGTAAAATATTTCATATTTTATTACTTTTTTTCATTAAATATAGTACATAATTTGGAGCAGGTTCCTTAGGTCCAGAATTGAGCATAATAATTGAGATGCGGTATGAGCAGCAATATCTTCTCCAGGATATCAGGTTCTATCTATCTGTTAATTGAACCTAGACACCCCTTAACAACAGACGCATCACATCATTTTGAGTCTTAAAGAAAACAGTATCATTCTACCTTCCATCTTTTCTCCTTTTGGGGGGAGGGGGCGGTTATTTTGACACTCTCTTATACCCAAAGGAAGGTCCCCCTTGAACTACTTCTTCCCTTCTTGAGCGATTATAGAAATGAGTAGTGAGGGGAAAGTGCAAAAACAGACAAAAATACCAGTAGCATTTTTTTTTGCCTTCTCCGAAGCCAAAAATAGAGGCTGAATAAACACATGTCCTTTGCATTTTCTACTTATGATTGACAATGCTTAGATTCCCTTCCTCATATGCCTGTTTTGAACGTTCAGGTTTATCTGGCATTAGGCTTGGAACACTTTCTAATGCTTTGATGCACTAAGACACAGTTCTCACTGGAAGGGCTTTTACTAAGTGGACAGCTAGGATGTCACAGGCAAGATATTTGCACACTACATTAATTTGGAAAGCGAAAGGTTTCTGTGTAACTTAACCAGGCTGAACAGCCATTTCCACTTTACCTGAATAAAGTATTTTCATGTTTTATCACACTAGTTTGCAACTGCAAAAGCTTCACCCAGTTTTTAAGAGTAGCTATGAACTGTCAGGATACATTATTTGCAATGAAGCCTGACAGCTCCAGCCTTGAAAGTAAAATACATTTTATTGTTTAAAAGCATTTCTCCACCATCTCATGTTCATCCCCCCTCCCAAGTCCCACACACCCCACGAGCCCCCATCAGTACCCTTCCCGGTTTGCAGGGAGATTCACTCTGGCATTTTGAAGTGGTTTCATCCTCATTAAGTAACACTGAAAGAAGTAAACTCCTAAACATGAGGTTTTCTTTTCTTCTTCTGTACATGAATCTTGAGAATGGAGCAGAGTAGTTTCGCATCCGTGAGAGAAGCACGCTGCTCAGGGGATGGTGTACATGCTGTAGTGTAGGAAGAAAAAAAAAAAAAACCCTAGCCAGTTAATATCTTGAGAGAAGGATTATTATCCCCCAAACTGCCTGTACTCTGAACTACATGTGTTTCCGTGTTGGTGTCTGGAATTTTCTTAAAGCCTCTAGCCTGATAGCCCATCTGAAGGAAGGCAACACAATGAAAATATTCTGTTTGTAACACTTATTCATGGCACTCTTGAATCTCTGTCTGATCCCAGATTCTGATGTTTGTGGCCTGTAACATAATGTTGGATGCCAGAGAAAAGTTTTTCTCTAGTCTCTAAAATTATCTTGAAATCCATGTGCACCTTATCCTTTAGATACTCTGAGGATAAGATTCTAGACACTATTAGAAGTCAGTGTCTCGTATTTTGGCCAATAAGCACTAATCTCCTCCACAGGTGCTGCTGCCTTCTTACCATAGCGTCACTGTGACTGAAGATAGACAGGATTCGAGTCAGAGCACACGCGGCAGGAAAGGAGGAACTAGGAAAAAATTAACTCACAAATGAAAATCTTTTTTGTTAATGATATTCTATAATGGAAGCCTAATCTCCTAGATATATTATCATCTGGCAAACTAGATACACATTTAATAAGGTTTTGGTGTATAAATTATAAATGAAATAAACAATTCTGTCACCATGGTGTGCAATGAATACACCACATGTTATATGTAAATATATTAGTCATTTGCCTCTTGTTTATGTGTCACTGAAATCCATTTTCTTTATGGTGTATTTTCAATTCCCTATGGGTTCCAACCAAAGTCATTTCAACCATACACATATCGGCCTTTAAAGTGGAATTATGTTGTTATTGTCCTTTTCCTGCCCAGTTTTAATAACACCTGCTCTTGTGCCAGTTTCATTTACTGCTGCAAATTGTAATTCAACAGAGAACAACAACAAAAACAACAAAAAAAATCAACCACCCCAGCAGCAAATGTGACTCCAGAAAGGAACTGTGTGATATATTGACACAATACAGGAAACATATTGAAACAATTTTTATTCTCATTATTTTATCCCCAAAATTAAATTCACCCCATAAAGCCAGTTAACATATTCTGCATGCCTCCCTCCTCCCCTAACTAAACCCAAACTCTTGGCTTTTAATGAGATAATTTTTTGAAAAACAGAAGCAATGGTTCAGCCTTTCAAGTGGTGGCATTTTTATTTTAAGCAGAGAAGCATAAATGCATGAAGGATGCAAATATGGACTGTTTCAATGGCTTACCACAGTGTGACAGCTGTGGATGGGATCAAGACAAAAGCGGTGACTGCTCCAAGAAAATGATGGCTTAGGCATCTCCCGCCCAATCAATAATCTGGCATGTTGGGGTCAATCACTGCATGGCCATATTCAGTTCGAGCCAGTCAAAGATTATTACTTTGACACCCAGAGGCTATTTCTTTCTGCTCTGGACGGCAGAGAGAGCGAGCCAGTGTGCCTCTCTTCACAATCAAATGGAGGAAGACTGTTTGTAACAATGGAAACACTGACACAGAATTTCAGAAAGATGCCATATTTGTTAGGAGGAATACTCTATAATATTCTATATGTTAAGTAGCTCTTCCAGAATTGTCACTGAGCTTATTTTGTGTTTTGTCAATTCAAAAAATTTTAAAAAACTATTTTTATGCCCCTGCTATGCTCCAGGTTCTGTCTTAGGGTGTGGGAATATGGAAAGGAATAAGATGAGCCTCTTATCATCACAGAGGAATGAATCTAGAAAATTGCCCAAAAACATAATGCTCTAAAATCCCCCAACCTTTACAGGCTTATTCTTCTAGAACCCCTCCTCTCCCTCCATACCTTGCCAAATTTCCCAATTTTCAGGACCAAGTGAAGAGAAGTAGCAAGATAATCATTATTTTAGATTGTTAATGGCTAGCAGTAGCTTGATCTAGCCAAAGCAATGGTTACAAGTAGGTTTCTGAAAGCTTTTCAAACTACTGGAAAGGCAATAGAATTAGCCAAAGGAAGTTCATTCTAACTGACATGCTAATTCCATCTCCACAGCCCACAGCCTGTCTAACACACTCAGTTGCTGGCTATTGCACTCCCATATGCTTGCTAACGGGAAACAGTTTGCCGGGCTCCCTGCGATTTCACTGGTCATGTTTTACTGTTTCTCCTGGATGGCATGTCATCGAGTATAATAAATCTCAGTTTGTTTATATTCTGTGTCTGTATTTGCACTTTGGTGATTATATTTGAATTCATGCAAAATCCTTTTTTTTAAGAACTCGAGCATAATCTTCTCATTAATCCTGTCCTGTTTGTCTGTTATTAATAGGCCACTGTACAATGTATTCTGCTGCAAAACTCCACCAGGCATGACTAATTCAGATAATTAATTTGCTAGAACATTAACACCATCAAATGAGCCTGCTAAACCGGTAAATTTAAAGTAAATTAAACTTAATTTGCAGGTTATTGCAATTAAGTCTGCCTTGTCTTTCTGAGGGATTTCAACATCCTCAGTATTTAAGAGGCAATCATAATGCATGCAAGTGGGCGGGCTTTTTGGCTAATTAACACAAGAGTCTAATCTGCTTTTCAATTAGGGTGGATGTTTATAATGTGCTGGTGACAGTGTTGCGATTCAGTGCAGCATAACAGGAGTGCATGGCATAATTACAGCTGAAAAGAAAAGCTCATGCCGCGCCTTTTTAGGGGTTAATGAGACATTGGCAGCTTCCAGCTGAGGAGATCGAGCCAGTTTAGTGTATCTTCAAGAGGAAACCGCCCATAGGGGCTTCCTTTGAAGTGTCAAAAGGTCCCCTTGTTCTGGGTGGCTTATGTTTCATTTGTCTGAGTGGCATATCAAAAATTGATGAGCTGCCAGCAGCAGTCCCTATGACATTAATTCACCAATTGTGTTTCTAATAGTTTCATCCTTAAATAAATTTGGATGATGAGAATGGTAAGGAGAGTCAAGGCTTTGAAAACAATAAGGAGGGCCAGGCCATTGCTTGGTTTTCATACAGCACAGACAAATGTAGCAGCAGTAAATGTTAAAGACACGCCTGACCTCCAATACCCCGGGTTATTAGCTGCAGAAGACAAAGCTGTATTGTGCCTGTTCTCTTTCCTATACAACAGTTGTTCAGAAATGTGATAAAGATGTAACCTTCACTGGCATGGGGTGGAACCGCTATGTAATCAAGCTGCACCTGACAAAACTTCTGTGTGGTTGAGGCCAAGAGCTCTTCTGAAACATTCTTGATTAAGCCACTTATACAGCAGGGAGGAGGCTGAGGGAAAAGAGGCAGATAGTAGTCTAATAACTGCCTACATTCACAGTAAGGAAATAAACATACCTTCTTCAAGTCTATAGTGACACTGAACTAAGGCAGTTTGGCCCAGTTTGAAACTGAGTCATGGCCATGTACTTTTCCAGGAGCCTTCGTCCAGCATGGTCTTGTTTGAATGAGGATATGTGAATTGTGGTTTCTGGTTTTACACATTCTGTGGTTATAAAATAAAGAAAAGAGAATTTACATGTAGGTGGCTGTTTCCAGGATGATGATGATTCATGACATACCCAAGAGTTATCCCGGATGTACATCTGCCTTGGAATAATCAATGGCATATTCTCAAAATGCTTAATTGAGTACACTGAAAGTAAAGAAATCAAAAACATGTGCAAAAATAATGGTTTTTCACCACGAAGTTGCTACAAATTTTCTTTAAAGAATATTAAATTTGGGGGAGCTGGTGCTGTGCTGTAGCAGGTAATGCCGTCGCCTGCAGTGGTGGCATCCCATTTGGGTGCCAGTTTGCATTCTGGCTGCTCCACTTCCAATCCAGCTCTCTGCTATGGCCTGGGAAAGCAGTAGAAGATGGCCCAAGTCCTTGGGCCCCTGCACCTGCATGGTGGACCCTGAGGAAACTCCTCCTGGTTTCTGGCTTCAGATCAGCCCAGCTCTGGCAGTTGCAGGTATTTGGAGAGTGAACCATCAAATGGAAGACTTTTTCTCTTTCTCTCTCTCTCTCTCTCTCTCTGCTTCTGCCTCTATGTAACTCTGCCTCTCAAATAAATAAATAAATCTTTTTTAAAAAGAATATTAAATTTTTAAAATATTTTATTTATTTATTTGAGAGGTAGAGTTACAGAGACAGGGAGAGACAGAGAAAAATATCTTCCATCCTCTGGTTCACTTCCAAATGGCTGCAATGGCTGGAAATGAGCAGATCTGAAGCCAGCAACCAGGAGCTTCTTCCTGGTCTCCTACATAGGTGCAGGGGCCCAAGTACTCGGGCCATCTTCTACTGCTTTCCCAAGCCACAGCAGAGAGCTGGATTGGAAGAGGAGCAGCCAGGACATGAATGAGCATCCATATGGATGCCAGTGCCACAGGCAGAGGCTTAGCCCACTATGCCACACTGCCAGCCCCCAAAATATTAAATTTTTAATGATTATTATCAAGAGCATTACAAAGATGGTTCATCATTTGGCCTTCATGTGACATGCATGAAGTAAGTAACAGCTGGGTAAAACACCACCATCTCACAGATATGAATGACATAGTCAAATAATTATTCCAGATATTTGTGGAAATATTAATCTAATTACCCAAATTAATCATAAAAACTCCTGAACTAGTAGTAGTTTCAGACATAGCCAAAGAAAGTCAAGGCTTATTATAACAGATGTTGCTAACAAATTCACTCATTTATTAATCCACTTAGTTATGCTTTGAGCACATATTATTTAATTAACATTGTGCACGGAGACTAAGGCAATGAACAAAGCAGACAATGCCCTCTACTTGTGGAGCTTACAAAAACAGCCTTTCAATGTTTTGGCCAGTGATGAACTGTGTATGCAATGGTGGGCCCATGAGACAATATTGTCTAGTGGCATCACAGCGCTCTTAGTTTGTATAACTATGATGTTTATACAAAAGTCTGTGTAACAATGCATTTCTCAGAATATAAACCTGTTGTCAAGTGATGTGTGACTGTAAACAGGAAATCACTGGTTTTTGGTAAATGTAGTTATGTCAATAAAACAGAATAATACAACAGACCATTTTAAATCGGGTGTTAAGGAAAGCCTTTGCAAGAAGATAACATTCAAGCTGAGACCAAAATGAGACTGAGGAATTTTAATTAAGAGGACCAAATTTGTAGTTTTCACAGATCCCTTTGGCTGCTGCCTGTAAAAAAGAATGGAGGCTATGGCACCATAAAAATGGAAACAAAAAGAGCATTTATAAGTCTACTAATGTCCTATAGAATCTCCTAAATAGCCCAAGCTTTCTGAGCTCAAAATGTGATTTAGAATTATGTTTAACTTTTGTAAATGACAGCAAAATTTTGAGCAAATTATTATACATTTAAGTGGTAGCATCAAGTTGGAGTTTGGATATATGATTATAGACACAGGGGAAACTCCAGAGCTAAAGATGTGAAAAAGGAAGCCATGAACATGAAGTTCATATTCAAAAACATGGGCTGGCTGATTAACTCTGGTGAAGAGCAAACTGGGAACAGAAAAGAAGTCCTGAGATCAACTTACAGAGAATGGGAGAAGCCAGCAAAGAAGGCAGATTCTGCATGGCCACCAAGGTAGAATTTTAAAAACAAAAAACAAATATGAAGGAGGGCGACACTAGAAAATGTTTTGAGAAAAAGGGAGCAGTCAGCTGCGTTAAATGCTAATGAGTGGTTGAATAAAATGAAAAGAGACAAATGTCCATTAGATTTAGCATCATGGTGGTCAGTTATGACCTTGACAAGAACCATTTCAATGATGTGTGTGCCTAAGTAAACTTGGTTGAGTACAAAATGAGAGATGAGGAAATGGACAGTGTTTGCAATTACTGGAAAGTTTAAATGGCTGATAAAGAGGAAAAGAAATAGAATGGTGGCTGAAGGTAGAATATGAGAACCAATAAATTATTTTTAAGTATGAGAGTTTGAGTTCATGGTGGGAGTAGAAAGAGTGAATGAAATAGTCATTTCAGGATCCAATGCAACCAATAATAGGTTAGGTCTTAATTTATTGTTTAATTGCAAATGTATTTACTATGATATGGCTATATACTTATTAAAGAAAAAAAGGACAATACAGAGAAAGAAAACCATAGAATAATGCATCCATCTAACAGGGAAGGGAACAAGTAAGATAATTTCTCTAAGTAAACCTCATACTGAAACTAAATTCCATCTAGCACATGCAGCCCTATATATCCAAGATACATTCAGGGAAAGTTCATTTGTATGGGGTGCTTGAGCAAAGTTACCTCTAAGTCTGTGATTAGTGCTGAATTCTCTCATGTTCAGCATTTTCAGTGTGTTCTGCCTTAATGGTCTATCATCTAATGTGCTATGCTGTTTATTTCCTTAAGTATTGAAACTTTTAGAATTGTACTAAATGTTATATGAATCAAGTAGAAACTTTAATCCTTTTTAAGAAAGAAGTTGCTACATTCATAACATAATATGCTATGTTTTATAATAATGTTCTAGAATGTTTTAGAGAATTTCTTCTGCTAACATTGGAAACAAGTTGGTGCAGCTACAATGTGGGACAGTACCACCAGACTAGGAGTAGGCAAGATCGGTGCCAAGGGCTCACTCTCAATTGTGTGAAAGTGAGCGTGAGTGCTTCCAACTTTGCTCCACCCTAGACGGGGCCTGGAGGAGAGTCTTCCTCTTAAAGCTACTATTCAGATATGGTATGACTGATATACCAAGAATGTATCCTAGCGTGTTCTTTATTCAATATCATTTTAAAGATTTAGTAACTGTAGGTACATAGATTTATGATAAAAGTAACAAAAACAGTAGATGCATGGTTAGACTCAGCCCTTCTTCACTTTTCTGCTTAAAGTTTTATTTTGTTCTCATATAAAGGAAAGTGAAAGAAAGTCAGTGGTAGTCAATATGATGCCAAAATTAAAGTTGCAAAGCATGTAGCATAGGCCAGGTCTATAGTACATGGGAGCTGTTAATTTAAAAAATGATCATACTAGTTCTGATTTGTGTCCTATACTCCATCCTTCTGATTATAACATTTTCAAAACATCTTAATTTTTAAAGTATATAATTTGTTTCTTAAATTTACATTGACAGCTATCTTACTTTTATCCCTTGTTTCTGCTCTTAGAGTATCCCAATTTTTTAAATTTTTCATTTAAGGTATACAAATTTCATGTATTTCACATATAAAGATTTAGGGAGGTAGTGAAATTTCTCATCCTACCATCCCTTCCACCCTCACTCCCACCATTCCTCCTCCATCCTCTCCTAATCTCTCTCTTAATTTTTACAATGATCTACTTTCAGTTTGCTTTATACTCATCAGATTAACTCTGCACTAAGTAAAGAGTTCAACAAATAGTAAGAATAAAAATCAAACACTGTTCCTCAGCAGCAGAGATGAAGACTATAAACAATCATGGAAGCTCAACATATCTATTTCACTCTTACACATTATATTTTTGGTACTCTATTAATTACCACAGATCACGGAAATCATATGCTATTTGTCTTTTGGGGATTGGCTTATTTCACTAAGTATAACGGTTTCTAGTTGCATCTGTTTTGATGTAAAGATAGGATCTTGTTCTTTTTTAAGGTTTAGTAATATTCCATTATATATAATATATATACATTATATATATTATATATTCTATTATATATATTAAATAAATATACATATAATTTCTTTATCCAGTCATATGTTGATGGACATCTGGGTTGATTCAATATCATATTTTCTTTATCCAGTCATTACTTGGTGGATATCTGGGTTGATTCCATACCTTTTACTATTGTGAATTTAGCTGTAATAAACATGGGTGTAAAGATTACTCTTTCTTATGCTGAGTTCATTTCCTTCGGATAAATTCCCAATAGTAAGATTGCTGAGTCATATGGTATATCTATTTTCATCTTTCTGAGATATCTCCATACTATCTTTCACAATGGTTGTACTAGTTTACATTCCCACCAACTGTGGATTAGGATACTTATTTCTCCAAATACTCACCAGCATTTATTGTTATTTCTGTATGAGATCCATTCTAACTGGGGTGATTTGAAACCTCATTGTAGTTTTGATTTGCATTTCACTGAGGCTTAGTGAGCCTGAGAATTTTTTTATGTGTCTGTTGGCCACTTGAATTTCCTCTTTTGAAAATTGCCTGTTCAGTGCCAGGGGATTGCAATTCAATCCCAACAAGGTGGCATGTACCAATGCCATCTCACTAGTCCAAGTGATCAATTTCAGTTCACAATTGACCATAATGATAGGTCTAAGAGTCAAAAAGGTCACATAAACAAGATTAGTGTCTGCTAATACTGATAGAGTTAAGAAGGAGAGAACAATCCAACATGGGAAGTGGGATAGACAGCAGACTCATAGAATAGCAGATGTCCTAAACAGCACTCTGGCCCCAGAATCAGCCCTTAAGGCACGTGGATCTGGCTGAAAAGCCCGTGAGAGTATGACAGGCATGGAAAGCCAAGACACCCTGGGGAAAAAAAAAAAAGAAGACCTAAATGGAAGATCTCTGCTAGTGAGATCCAGTGGAAAGAATGGGCCATCAAAGAAGGAGATACCTTTCTCTGAAGGGAGGAGAGAACTTCCACTTTGACTATGACCTTGTATAAATAAGATTGAAGTTGGCGAACTCAAAAGGCTTCCATAGCCTTGGCAACTCATGACAAGAGCCTAGGGTGATTACTGACGCCATACAAGAGTGACAATTTGTTAAGTCAACAACAGGAGTCACTGTGCACATACTCCTCATGTAGGATCTCTGTCTTTAATGTGTTGTTCAATGTGAATTAATGCTATAACTAGTACTCAAACAGTACTTTATACTTTGTGTTTCTGTGTGGGTGTAAACTGTTGAAATTTTTACTTAATATATATTAAATTGATCTTCTGTATATAAAGAGAATTGAAAATTAATCTTGATGCGAATTGAATGGGAGAGGGAGTGGGAGATGGGAGGGTTGTGGGTAGGAGGGAACTTATGAGGGGAAAAGTCACTGTAATCCATAAACTATACTTTTGGAAATTTATAT